GTCCGTGCGTCCGTCACACTTTGTCCAAAGCATATCTCCTAAACTATTCGTGATTCGTGATAACCAAACTTTGTACACACGTCAACAGTGATCCCTATATGTGCCTTTTGAGGGTTAGACCCAGATATGAATTTTATTTTTGGCGGTTTCCATGGAAACCTGACTTAGGCTGTGGCTATGAGGATGTCATCTTGTCCGGAGCAGATCTTCCTAACTATACATGCTAGCATCATCAAACTTGGTACACATGTCAACCATGACCCTTAGATGTGTTTTGTGGGGGTAAGACCCAGATGCGAATTTTATTTTTTGCGGTTTCCATGGAAACCTGACTTAAGCTATTACTATGAGGATGTCATCTTGTCCGGAGCAGATCTTCCTAACTATACATGCTAGCTTCATCAAACTTGGTACACATATCATATTTTTTGTGGTTTCCATGGAAACATGACTAAGCCTGTGACTATGAGGATGTCTTCTTGTTGCATTTCCATGGCAACAAGTTAGGCTTCAACTGAATTTGGTGGTAGTGCTCCTTTCTGGAGCAGATCTTAAAAACCTTTCAATACTCTCTTTCCACTTTGCTGTATACACTCCAACTAGTAGATATATTCATAGATTATTTTGCCGTTGCGGGGGATATTGATGACTTTGTCTTCTTGTTTTATTCCGCTTGAGAGCTCGGATGATGACACCGAACCCCCCTTCACAAATGCCCACTCGATAATTATGATGAACAGCTGCCACGTTTCACGCTGTGAACGAGACGAGACATGACGACTCTTAAGCTGATTCCTTTTGCGGTTTGTAAGGATGCATATGCCACTGCAGGTAATTTAAAAAAACAACACGCTTGAGTCAGGTTCTCTATTGGTTGAGTGTAGAAGAAAACAGAAAGCCACTTACCTGGTGTCGACACAATTATTTGTTGGAATTCCAGCTTCGATCACTGCACACAGAATGCTGAGCACCAGTAAAAGTATAATCAGAAACAGAGATCGACCTTTCACTGATATGTCAGAACTAGACATGGTTTCTGAAATGAAAGAGCAGGGAGTGGCATATGTCAAAATGTTTACGACCCGCAGAAACAATGAAACTAATCAAACAAATTTCTCTTTTCATTCTCTTCACAGAATCCTCAGTCAATCAAGGCAGGTTACTGCAATAACAAAGTTGACATCTTCATCGAAAATCCTTTGTCATGTTTTAAATGCCAAAAATATGGCCACGGCATCACCCTTATAATGAGCCCACTGTAGTCAGACTACTCATTTTGAATAAGACAGTAACCTTAAAAATTACATAGACTGTTCAGGGAGTCATTCTTGCATCTCTAAGGAATGTCCAAACTGGAAAACAACAAATGGAAATCACTAAAATTAAATACACCCTGAACATTGGCTTTGCTTATGCAAAAACACTGTTGAATCTACAGCACCAGCTGACCTTATGCATCAGTTGCCATGACACATTAGGAAACCATCCGAAAGGTGAACACCTACAGGTAACTACTTCATTAATGCACTGTCAAACTGACTTGACGTGGGTTAAAAACAACGATCAGTTTATCACGCCTGAAAAGTCTACTCAGACTTAAAAATCTGATAATGTCACACAGATACCGTCTAAAGTTCCATCTCAGACCTTTAGTCAGGATTCATCCTTATTCGGAGAACATTCATCGTCTCAATCAAATAAACTTCCCAATCTAAATCAATTTCAAAGAACATAGTTCAAAGTACAATTAACCCAAGAACCAAATCTTTGAAAAACAAGTTCAGATAATCAGACAATACCGATCGCTTGAGGTCATTCATTTGTCAGAAAACTTCCATCCCAGGGCACACAGCTTGTCACTCTCGGAAACAGTGAGGGGTAGATCCTTTGTCAAAAATATCAGTATTTCTAAAATATCGTGTAATGGAACTGTAGAGGACAACGGACTCATTTTAATGACGTACGTCTATTAGTCCGGATTTTACACCATCGGACCCGTGATGGTCCGGGTTAGAATATTGATCTTCAGTAACCCATGCTTGTCGTAAGAGGCCACTAACGGGATCGGGTGGTCAGGCTCGCTGACGTGGTTGACACGTTTCATCGTAGGTCCCCTTGGCCCCTAGTATGGTGATCTACCTTATGTTGTTGGCGATCTATGGTCCGTTTTTATGTTCTATTGTTCAGAATAGTGGTTTAAGTTTACACTTAAGCACTAGCTTATTGTGATAATCTAGTAATTTTATTGTCCTGTCTCCACCGATTATACTATTATTATATAAGTTTATTTACTATGTATGAATGACGCTTTAGTCACGATATAACTAGACCCGCGATGATCCGGGGTAGAATAGGTCTTCAGCAACCCATGCTTGCCACAAAAAGCGACTATGCTTGTCGTAAGAGGTGACTAACGGGATCGGGTGGTCCGGCTCGCTGACATGGTTGTCACATGTATCCCAATTGCGCATATCGATGTTCATGCTGTTGATCCCTGGATTGTCTGGTCCAGACTCGATTATTTACAGACCGCCGCCATATAGCTGGAATATTGCTGAGTGTGGCGTAAAACTAAACTCACTCACTCACAATATGAGTAAATATTGCCGGTGTGACTATAAATCATAACTCGCTCATTCTAAAAGGCATCTCTCTGGGAATAGATTAAATGTCAATATTGTCCTTCATTCCAAGACATTGCACAGGAAATCAGCATACATACTCAAAGGCAAAATATATTGCAAAGCACAAACAACAAGGATAACTAGAGTTAAACTGTTACTGAAGGGAATGAAATAGTATCACATGAAAAGACAAATGCTTGAAGGTGCAAATACGATCAACGTCACTCAATTTCCACCCAGAAGTGTTCAATATGTGACACATCACTGTAAGGCAGCCATTTAATCTCTTAATAGAGTTCAGCATGCATTTAGTTCTTGAGTTTGTGTGAATTCTATATTTACAATAATTTCTCTGTATACGTACACATGGCATACAAACTACATGCCTCGAGTTGTGAATGAGTTTATTCTTGTAATGTGGCCACAGGCCCATTTTACATTTTCAGGTTTTACATGTTTGCCTCTACATGCGAGCGCCAATATACAATATACATAAAATATATATGACGAACTTTTGAACATATTGTCATTAGAGATATCTTAATTTAACTTATCATTTTATTGTCAAAAGTAAAGAAACGTGTGTCTCCTCTTTTGGGCTAAGAAAATAAATTTGGCTTAACCTTTTTTATAATTAATGGATTAGTTCAGGAAAATAATTAAACATACTTTCTGTTTGATAGGTTACTCCAAAACATATATAGGTAAACTGTTCTGCCTAGGTTCGTTATAAAATGGACATATAAAGCAAAAATGAAATTCAGTTTCCACTTCTGGGATAATACTGCCTCTCTTTTCATGGAATGTTAAGATTTCTACCTTCTGGTATCATAAGATTATGACTCTAACAACGAAATTGTGATAATGAAATCCTATAAACTTGAATATCTAACTTTGTCAAATAGTTCTCAACAGCATAATCAATTCTAATACCTCGTGCCATGAGTGCTGCACCGGGTAGACACTCTACAAGAACAGTGAAATACGAACCTTAATGTATTTGAAACAGCGGTAGGCATCCGTGTTCCATGGACGTAGCGAATACACAGAGCAATTCAAATGCTTTGTGGAGTACTGGGTCACGATGACGCATAACTATCCCATCCACAGGGCAATTCAAATGCATAGTGGAGTACTGGGTCACGGTGACACACAACTATCCCATCCACAGGGCAATTCAAATGCATAGTGGAGTACTGGGTCACGATGACACACAACTATCCCATCCACAGGGCAATTCAAATGCATAGTGGACTACTGGGTAACGATGACACAACTAACCCATCCACAGGGCAATTCAAATGCATAGTGGAGTACTGGGTCACGATGACACACAACTATCTCATCCACAGGGCAATTCAAATGCATAGTGGAGAACTGGATCACGATGACACACTACTGTCCCATCCACAGGGCAATTCAAATGCTTTGTGGAGTACCGGGTCACGATGACACACAACTATCCCATCCACAGGGCAATTCAAATGCATAGTGGAGTACTGGGTCACGATGACACACAACTATCCCATCCACAGGGCAATTCAAATGCATAGTGGATGTACTGGGTCACGATGACACACAACTATCCCATCCACAGGGCATAGTGGAGTATTCAAATGCAATTCAAGTGGTGGAGTACTGGGTCACGATGACACACAACTATCCCATCCACGGGGCAATTCAAATGCATAGTGGAGAACTGGGTCACGATGACACACTACTATCCCATCCACAGGGCAATTCAAATGCATAGTGGAGTACTGGGTCACGATGACACACAACTACTGGGACACGATACAACTAACCCATCCACAGGGCAATTCAAATGCATAGTGGGAGTACTGGGTCACGATGACACACAACTATCCCCAATGATGCATGGTGGAGGAACTGGATCACGATGACACACTGTCCCATCCACAGGGCAATTCAAATAGATGGTGGAGTACTGGGTCATGATGACACACAACTATCCCATCCACAGGGCAATTCAAATGCATAGTGGAGTACTGGGTCACGACGACACTAAACTAACCCATCCACAGGGCAATCTGGCACGCGATGACACACAACTAACCCATCCACAGGGCAATTCAAATGACACACAACGAGCACACAGGGGTGTGAAATACATTGTGAAGTGTTGGGTTACAATGACAACTGTAATACATTGTGGAGTGCTGGGTCATGATGACACGACCAACCCACAGGGGAACTGGAATACATTGTGTTGTACTGGGTCATTATTACACACAAGGAACCAGTTCAAACTGAAATGTCTTGACACACTTTGTGAGATAAGATCAGAGATCAAATAACTGCAGTTAATGTGTGTATAAATAGAAGCGACAAAACTCTTTCCACATTCAAAAGAATGCAGAATCGATTGTACAATTGTGACTGTATTTTGAACATATATTAGTTTCAGCAGCATTACGTCTGTATGATGCTGCTTGTAAACAAATTAAATCGCACCTGGACCACACAATCCAGCGATTTCACCATGCAATTCGAGGACATAGCATGCGTTTATGAATCACTATGAAATAGCGATGATACCAGGTGTTCGCGAAAGGGTGAGCGTATCCTGTCCCACCGGTTGTACATGTCTAGTCTATGTCTAGTTAAATATTCACCTGAAATAATACGGGAACGTATGGTATAAGTCAACATAGGGAATTGAATCGGACATCATTTTTGTCGCTGATGCATCAAATTTCGAAATGTCCTCCACATGTCTACATCGCAGCTCAACACACACTGACAAGTTCATCCAGTCTGGGGACGGTGAGGTTGCCTACTGGTTAAAGCGTTCGCTCGTCACGCCGAAGACCCGGGTTCGATTCCCCACATGGGTACCATGTGTGAAGCCCATTTCTGGTGTCCCCGCAGTGATATTAATGGAATATTGCTAAAAGCGGCGTAAAACCATACTCACTCACTCACTCATACAGCCAGACAATAAACATATGCTGTAAGATTGTCCATTTTAGTGTATACTTCGTAAATATGAGCTCTGTAAACGCTACAATTTACATATTTTATCAAAAGTACTTATACGGGACCTGTATCAGGGCGACGGTTCAGTAAGTTTGGAAAGTTTACCGTATTTTGGTTAATTCAGACACATAGATCATCGAAACCGTAATATCACTGTACATTAACCAGACAACATAACTATTCATGAAAATAATTAATTTGCTTGTCCAGCTTTCTTACCTAGGTCAGTGTGCGTATGTGAAATGAAGACTGGGACCTTTGTCGAGGCAGGCGTTTGACGGAAGATTCTACTGTCTGCATTCTATATTTGTTGAACACATCACTGCGCATATTCCAGTTGCAGTTTCCCAGGTCAAGGCCAACCATCAACCAATCACATCGCTCGAGGATCTGTCACTCCGTAAGAAACATACAAGTCGAGGAGACAGGATCATTCGAATATAGTTTTCCAAATTTTACTAGTTTCCATGCATTATTTCTTACATTGTGGCATGGAATGGGAGCAGTCCGGGTGAGAAACTGAATCTTTAGACATATGTTTATTGCATAGTGAGGGATAAAAATGGTGGGTAGTTTGGGATAGATGTGAGTGCTTTTAAGACTTTGACTGGTTGGTTTGTCGTGCTGGAGTCTTTGGGTTCTGCTGCCAACTGGTCCAGACTCGATTATTTACAGACCGCCGCCATATAGCTGGAATATTGCTGAGTGCGGCGTACAACTAAACTCACTCACTCACTCTGCTGCCAACTCCATTTTTTTCTAAAACCTCCAATGACAATGCAGCGTGTTCACAGTGACCACTTGGTAAGTATGCTCAGGAGTAGTACAACGGTGCCAGTCACACACCAAGGAGTCCCCCCACTGGAACACAACGAGGTACATCTCAATAGAGGGAATTACAACCATAATTCAACACAACCTACCACAATATCAAAATCGTGGGCATTTATATCACATGGATATCGTAAGACACGACTGAAAGGTATTTGGAGGTCAAACTTGGTGTCTCGGTTGCTACGCTGACAGAACTTGCCGTAGTCATGATAAAAAAAAAAATCTCGGTTATTGAAATCCATTTTTGGCAAGGTTTAAGCAAAATGTCTTTACATTTTGCAGAAGCAATGATTCAGTTAGTGTAAATATGTGTCCTGAACATGACCATTATAATTGTTTGGTCGGCATTCAGATTCTAGAAGTTGGTGAGTCAAAACATACCACTAGCCTATGAAGAATTAATCAAATTATAGACTGTATGAAAGCAGCCTATCAGCTTGTTGTTACTACTTTATCCTCTTTGGTTACTGGCTTCATCACCATAGCTACTTGTGATTATAACGTATGCTACCATGGCTACTTGTTGTTCTTAGTCCCCATATGGCTTTCCCCAACTGCCCTCTTCCAATTATGTACCACTTATTATAATTCAATAACTAATCTGATGTTTGTCATAACAAACCATGTATATATACGTCTCACTATTTGGTTGTAGTCACTTGTTGCTATTGGGTATTTTCGCTTTGTCTAGACATGTTGAAAATAATTCTAGTTTGATAACGATGTAAGTTGTCGTCAATAAAGTTGTATGTTTCATTTATGATCATTTTACTATTTCAGTGCTGTTTTCATTGGTTTCTCAAACATAAAAACATGCAAATACAACACAAATGCCTCCTCAGTTTCACATTTTAAATGCAAATGACGCTACGAAGCTCTTCGTACTGATCACAGCATGAACCATCAGAAATAGTAACTGGAGCTTTCCACTCTAAAGAATGTATCAAACAGTTCTGAACCTCAACAAAAAAATGAATGGGCTTTGCAATTCCCGCATATGTAATATCTTAGGCAGAAAAGTAAAGCTAGCGCAAGGCTTTTTTTATTTATTTATTAATTTTTTATTTATTTTATTTTATTAATTTCCCTTTTTGGGGAGAGGAGGGGAAGGTTCGTATTCGTCATAGGAGCAAATAGATCGTTGACGGGATCCAGAAAATATTTTTGTATGTGAAACATGGGTGCAACATCAAAATAATACCGTTATATGTCAAAATATTAATCCATCCTAAAACTAATGAATCGTGTATCCTATCGTGCAAAACTTACCGGCGATGTATCGGTGCATCGTGATATTACTAGACCCTGCAATGGCGATCTACAATTAGCTGTTGGTCATCTGTAGCCCGTCTTAATATTGTACTGTTTTCCATAGTTAAATCATGATATCATGCTAGTTTGAAACCCGTATTTACAATACTATAGTTTGCCAGTTGGCCATCGGGGCCTGCTGTCGCCCGCAGGCTTTAAAATCTACAGGCCCGGAATGAAACGTGCAGGCCCATTTTGTGAAAGTCAAACCAATAAAAACAAAATAGACTACACTGTACACAATTTCACACTGTTTCTACAAGAACAATAATTATTAGCGAAGCCTATGGCGCAGAGAGAAGTCTTTATGTGTGTCTGTGTTGACATTCCTATGCGCAAAGCGCTGAAATACCTGGAAGTGAAACTGTAAGTTATCGTAACGTGGTGGATCAGGGAGGATCTGTAAATATCTGAAACTGCCGGCCCGATACAATAACAACCGGCGCTGGGCCTCTGGGCCGGCGATTATTTCGAACGCTGTTTTATACTAAATCTGTGATACGCTTTGATAGTTTTACTGCCCTTTCACGACAGGTTTTTATTGTCTTAACTTAATTATGTTTAAAGTATAAATTGTACATGTCACGATATGGCTGAAATATTGCCGGCGTGATGTTGAATTGTAACCCACTCACTCACTCACTTTGTTGGGAATCGTTATCATCACGAGACCAGTTCACTGGGCTCTGCAAACAAGACATTATTGTGCAGGGCTTGAGACGTGTAAGCCCATGCAAACTACGAGGACCCAAGAGTCGGGACAGCGCGTGTCCGTGAATTAGTGTCCGTTCATTTAATAAATATCTTGAGTTGTTTCAGCTTGAAATAAATAAGAAGTATATGTAACTGTTCAGTCACCCATTTCCTTTCATATACTATTGTTTCCTGTGTATTTCAAACTGCACTGTTTAACCGAAGTTTTACACGTTCAGAACTTGTCGTGCCATGAGAAATAGGTTAGATATGACTGCGCGAAGATGCGGGTTAGAACTGGCCTTTAGCAACACATGTTTGTCGTAAGCGGCGTCCAAAGGGATCAGGTGATCAAGCTCGCTGACTTGGTTGACATAAGCCAACGTATCCAAGTTGCGTATATTGATGCGAATGTTGCATATCACTAGACTGCCTGGTCCAGATTCGGTGATTAACAGACCGCCGTTACTGACTTGTATAAGCGGTGTTGAACAACAAACAAAAACCATTTTGAATTGTGCTATTGTGCGACAAAAAGAGTTTAGGAGGACATGACATGCACATGATCGAATTTGTGTTTTGTCATATTTGCGCGTTTGGATGCTTTAGACTGTTCCATAACGAAGAAGATGGACCCGTGTAAGAATGTATCTTCAGCAACCCATGCTTGTCGTAAGAGGCGACTAACGGGATCGGGTGGTCAAGCTCACTGACTTGTCATCGTGTCCTAATTGCGTAGATCGATGCTCATACTGTTGAACACTGGATTGTCTGGTCCAGACTCGATTATTTACAGACCGCCGCCATATAGCTGGAATATTGCTGAGTGCGGCGTAAAACTAAACTTAATCACTCCTCCTATCTTTCAAGGGGATGCGGTCATTAGGCGTATTTAAAACAAGGTCCTGCCTCTTCACAGTCTTAAAGCATTCAAAGCAGCGTTTCGTAAGGACTCGTATTAATTGAACTGAAAGATTTTGCGTGAAAGAAAACCGTTGATACTGACTGTGCAAACAATATAACTGCTCGAATAATTAGCAATATCAGTAGATAGGCTTTTAGGTAATCATTCTGAAACTAATAAATGAAACTAAAAAATAGATATCTAAAGTTCTGAGACAGCAAATACTCAGAGAAAAGGCAACAGCATCCACCAAAATGTTCTTAAATGTAAATAATGGCGCTATTTTCATATGCACTATCCAAAATCAGATCAGTGTCATATTTGTTTGCATTGTGTCAGGGGTCTCTCGCCAGTTTCATTTCAGCAATGACCTGCTGGTAATTTATTTGCTCATACTGACAGAAAACGTAAACTAAAAATGATTTTGTTGCTACAACCGTGTGCTTATGAAACAAAAAATAGGTTAATGTCTATAATTGTGGAAATTCGTGCAAACTCTCATCTTCGAGAAGACGTAGGTGTCGGGAATGATGGTGCCGGCGTATCACAGATCGTGAAGCTTGTCGCATTTCTTGGTCAAACGAACCCATGAAGATCTGTGTTAGAATTGATCTTCAGCAACCCATTCTTACTATAATTGGCAAAGAATAGAATCAAGTGATCAGGCTTGCTGACGTCGTTAATACAGGTTCTTCTTTCATAGATCGATG